AACCAAATTGCGAGGTAGCCCTTCCACTGCATGGGAGGATCATTATACCCAGCGCCTCCGCGTGGGTGAGGTCCCCACTCTGGCCGACTTCGCGGTCTTCCTTCAGGACCGTTTCGGCGCTCGTCCTGACGCCACCGACGCCTTAGACCGCGTCACCCAGACCAGATGGTCCAGGTCCTCCATACCGGCCGACCTGGAGCGTCACATTCGGGTGTTCCAGGACGCCTGCCTTGTTTGTGACGAGACGTTCCTACCGGAGGTCACACTCACCGACCGGTTCCTCGTCAGCCTGCCGACTGACTATCGCTTAGAGCTATGGAGGCGATCATTCTCTTCCGCGGAGCAGGCATACGAGGCTGCGCGTCAGTACCAGAGGATGTGCAGTCGCTTCTCCGCCGCCCCATCCTCTTCGCGGCCAGCCGCCACCTCCGAGTCTCGCGGTACCACCAGAGGCCGCTCCTCGTTTGCTGGTCGTTTTCGTCCCCCGGCTCGACCTGGAGCGCCATTCTCTCGGCACTACAGTTCTCTCGAGTATGGAGAGGACGCCTCAGCCGAGCTCGATCCTACCATTGGGGATACCCCCGAGGACATCGAGCTTCGGGACGTCATCCAGTACCACTTGGATGACGACATTGTCCCGATGGCCGAGCGCCTGCAGCTGGCCATGTCTGCCATGGGTCGTGCGCGCAGTCGGATTGCACAGGCTGGCGCCCACACACCCACAGTTCCTCAGCTAGACCTCCCCCAGGGTTTTGTCCCTCCTCGCGGGAGCTCTATCCCCCGAGGAGCGTGCCGCCCTCGAGGCCCGACGCGACTGCCTTCGTTGCCGCCAGGATGGACACACCTCCTCACAGTGTCCATACCACACCGCCCTCGATCGGTACTATGCTGACATTTCTCGTTAGCGCCGATCTCAGTCCCCCCCCGGCCCCGCCCGACCAGCCCCACCTAGCTAGCTACAGTGCAGTGTACCCCTGAGGCCTCGCTCGTAGCCGGCTTCCCGACCACCGAGTCGCGGTTTGCCCCTTTGGCTACCCCACCAGAGGATCTTCAGGACATGACAGACGCAGTTCTCTCTGCCTCGTCGTTTGTCGAGGTATCGTCTGCCTCTCAGCAGACCGCCGCATCTAGCGCTTCTCCCCCGAGACTTCCGACGCGTCGCGCCATTCGCACAACCCGTTGTAGCGCTCAGCTGGCGACTCGCGATGACGTTGTGTCATCTCTCCTGGATTTGAGCATTCTTCAGGCTCGTCAGGAGCGACTCACGAGACACGTAAACATCCTGCGTCGTCTTCTCGCTCTTCTCTCTGACCCTGATCGTACCCTCCCCATTATCCCTATTCGCCTAGGGACATTTACGAGAGTGTATCGCACTTTATGGGACTCTAGCTCGCAGGGAGATTTCGTTCACCCTCGAGTGGTTGAGGAAGCTCGCCTAGCTACCTCTGGGTCTCGCTCTCCTATCTCCGTTACCCTCGGAGATAACAAGACACAACGCTTCTTCGATCAGACGGTCCCCGACCTCCACTTCTCCCTCACCCTCCAGCCACCAGATAGTACCCAGGCGCCTCGGCGCTACCATTCCTCCGCATACTTCGATGTGTTGGAGACTGGGTACGACTTTATTCTTGGCACTTCCTGGTCTCGCCGGTTCCGTGGCACAGAGGCCAAATAGGCGACCGAGACACTCGTTCTCAAAACGAAGTGTGGTCAGACCCATCGCGTCCCGTTCATTGGAACCACGGGCGACACCCCGCCCGACCTACTTC